GGAGACCTAAAGGGCTCGATTTATATCACCTTAAGATATTCTAATGTATAACCTAAACACCTATTCCGAAAAATCTCGGTGGGCGATTTTTCAAATTACTCGAACTTTCAATATATAGAACACTCAATTTTTTTTCCTTGTTTGGAACCTCAATAAGCGTGTATGTATATCTTGGAGGATTTCAAGACATGGTGTATTTATATAAGCTACATTAGGGACTTTAAGGAGGTGCTAAATATGGACTTATCCCATTAGGTTTATGAATCTTAATCATGTTCCATATACTTTCCCATTTAGGATAATATTCCTCCTAACCCTAATTACCTTCCAGAAGACTCCATAGTCTCCTAACCCTAGGTAATATTCTATAAGGAATATTCCTCTCCTTAGAGAATTAAATAATGGAAAATAATTAATTCCTAATTCCTACATGGAATTAAATAATAAATATTCCATTAGAGTAATATTATTGTTCTCCCCATTTAGCTCTAATTTTATCAATAATTTCGAACCTCCACTTGATTAATTAATCTAACTGACCGATTTACTTCCCTATGTTTAAATATAGTGTCCGTTGATTAGTTAAATTACTGACGAAATAATTAATTAGCTTCTTATTCATTTCTGAAACTAGTACCACTCAGATCTTTAACCGTTGTGTCGAATACACATCCACTTGCAGGGTTTGACATAATATTCCTTACTGAGTTCATTTTGGGGACGTCATCAACCAGCGCACTGGGACACAGTACAACAACAACAACATAGCCTTTAGTCCCAAGCAAGTCGGGATAGGCTAGAGATGAAACCCAAGAGAAACACAAAAGAGACTCGAACCAAAAGGAAGAGATCGAAAAAAAAAGAAAAGAGAGAGAGAGAGAGAGAGAGAGAGAAAACAGCAAAAGTCACGGTTCTGGTACGTTGATAGCTAGCCTCCAAGCGCTCCTATCCACCGCTAAATCCTTGGAGATATTCCAATCTTTAAGGTCTCTCTTAACCGACTCTTGTCAAGTGAGTTTAGGCCGACCTCTACCTCTCTTAACATCCTCGACCCGCTGTAGAACTCCCCTACGCACCGGTGCATCAGGAGGCCTCCGTTGGACATGTCCGAACCACCTCAGCCGATGTTGAACCAATTTCTCTTCAATTGGAGCCACCTCGACCCTATCTCGAATATCCTCATTCCGGATTCTATCCCTTCTTGTGTGCCCGCAGAACCAACGCAACATACGCATCTCTGCTACACTTAGTTGTTGGACATGTTGCCTTTTTGTAGGCCAACATTCAGCACCGTATAGCATCACCTGGCGAATCGCCGTCCTATAGAACTTACCTTTTAGCCTTTGTGGCACCCTCTTATCACAGAGAATGCCCGACGCCTGACGCCATTTCAACCAACCGACTGCAATTCTATGCCTAACATCAGCATCAATGCCGCCATCCTTTTGTAGCATCAATCCCAAATACCGGAAAGTCTCCTTTTTGGCCACCACTTGCCCGTCAAGGGTAACGTCACCATCATCATGTGAAGCCATGCTGAAAGCGCACGTCATGTACTCGGTCTTCATCCTACTAAGTCTGAAGCCTTTCGACTCTAACGCGTTCTTCCACAGCTCCAATTTCCTATTTACCCCTTCCCTACTCTCGTCAACTAGCACCACATCATCAGCAAAGAGCATACACCAAGGGATATCACCTTGTATGTCCCTTGTGGCCTCGTCCATCACCAAAGCAAATAAATAAGGGCTCAATGCTGACCCCTAGTGTGGTCCTATTTTAATTGGGAAGTCGCTGGTATCGCCCCCACAAGTTCGGACACACGTCATCGCATCCTTGTACATATCCTTGATGAGGGTAATATACTTAGCTGGGACTTTGTGCTTTTCTAAGGCCCACCACATGACATTCCTCGGAACTCTGTCATAAGCCTTCTCAAGGTCGATAAAGAACACTGGGACACAGTAACTATAAATAATTTATAACATCACATCATATAAACATCTTATTTACCAAAGTACCGAGTATGTCATCCTAACAGAATAGTAAGCACCCTTGGTAACCAAATAAATAAGTAATGAATATACATGCCCGTTTTATGTTATCTTACATCTTTAGAGAACACATCAATAACAGAAGTTCTAGATTACAATTACTATCAATGAGTCTCATAATCTTATCCTTCCGCGGTCCTGTTCAATATTCATCATAAGTACTAGTGCAAACCTTCAGCCAATGACAAACTGAATCCGAATTACACTACAGTCTTTTTCCAAGAGGGATCTCAATCCTTGTCTAGACTGTGAACAAATAATTTAGTCTTACAAGAAACTGATAGATGATCTTTCTGTTCGAGACACCACGAACCATACTGTCTTAATGTAAGACAAGGAGTATGATTGCATAAATAAATAAACGGCAAACATATGTATTTTGACTAAAATATGATTGCCAGATCAAAATGAAATTGATAGAATTTGCAAAACAAGCTTTTACAGCATACTTCTAACACCACAAAACGGACAACCCTACCAAAAAACTCCAAAACAATGGGGACAAAATAATCCACAAATGGAGACTAAACTGCTCTACAAATAGACTAACAACAAAATAAAAACAAAACAAACACCATAAAATACAACTAGTATGAATCTCGAGCGATGCACGGGTAAGAAATATTCTTTAATATTCATAAATTATAAATGATCATTAAATAATATTTATAAATTAAAAATATGGAATTAATATATAATACAATTTACCTATATTAATTTGTTGAAAATGTTATATGAAATTTAAATTGTGCAAAATTATATAAAATATGTCCATTTAAAATTAGTACACGACCCGTACGGTGCAAATAACTTATAATAAGTTACATTATATTCATTTCAAAATAGGTGTCATTTTAAAATTTTATTCAAAAATTCGATTTGACTACAATGTGATTTAAGTAAAAACAAACCTTAATACACACACACACACACACACCAAATAATTTGATATGTTCCACGCACATTTACAAAGAAAAATCGATCATAGTATTATCCAGATTTTTCTTTCATCAACATCGAGTAAAATGCTTAGCAATATGAAAAAAAAATATTGAGATACCATTTATTACCATAAGCAGATATATTGGATCAATATATAATATACCAAATAATTCAATTTCACACTTTATTGCTAAAATATAAAAAATGATACTCAGTTTAACCACGAGATTAATTGCACAACGTACAACACATTTATTATAGATAAAAATAAAAAAGAAACTCAAAAATAGGTATTAAAAAATAATTAAATAGAAACTACCAATAACACAATTATTTTAGAATAGTTTTATAAGAAATTATAATTAATGAACCAATCGAATTTACACGATCTGCGTAATTAGGGTATCTTAAATATGTAAATTGTTACGGTCATATTATTTCCTTAATTATCCATGATTTGAGCAATTAAATACACAAAAAATGAATAACATTTATTAAAGAATATTTAAATAAAAATTTTCATTAACAAAATTTTTTAGAACAGTTTTCCAAAAGTCGATATTTCTATAATTGTAGTAATTATTTACAGATTGAATAAATCAGTCGGATTTACACAATTTGCGTAATTTTAAGGTATATTAAATTTTTTTTTACAAAAGAATTACACGAAAAATATAAAACACTTATCAAATAATAAACTATACAATTTAGTTGGAATTTGTTTACCAAATCACATAATTGATATTACAACTGAAATTCTCATATTTGGGTAAATCAACCAATTCACATAATTTGATTAATCAAGGTATCTTAAAAATAATTTACCATAAGTGATTATTTGAAATATAACATAAATTGTTAAATTAATTTGAGTAATTAAGGTATCTTAAAAAATGTATTTTTATATGGATTAATTATATCCTTAAATAATGAGCGGTAATTTCCATAACTGATTATTTAAAATATACCATAAATTGCTAAATTAATTTCCCAAAATAGTAAATACATTTTTTTTGGAGGGAAATAGTTACTATTTAAAAAATAATCAAACATACACACACACACACACACACACACACACACATATATATATATATATATATAATATAGATAAGACCTCCCCCACATCACTCAACAACGAACCTCCCTGCTCCCACCCAAACCAACATACCTAGAAGTTCTTAAGCCTAAACATAAATCCGATCTGCAGAACCAAAACTCTCAAACCTAATAATTCTAGTTCAACTAGGAACGATTAAAAAGATCTGACATGGAGTCGAAACTCGAATTCAAATTTGCCAACGGGAGAGGAACTAGGAAACAGAAGGAAAGATGACAACCAGAACACCCGACGGTCTCCACCGGACGCTGGACATAAGCACCGATGCAAACTTTCTGACGCAAGAGGAAGAGGGAGACGACGGCTACTACCGGACACTAGAGAGAAGCCCAAGTACCGGCCTTCTGTCCGAAGAGGCGAGGAAGACATCAGCCACCACCAGACGCCGAAGAGGAGCCCCGATGCCGGCCTTCAGTCAAAACAAGGCGAGGATGCCGGCCTTCACCAGATGTTAGGTGGATTTTCAGAAGCGGGTGAGGGGATTGTCGGCAAACACCGGAGATTGGAGGGGACCCCGGTGGCGGCCTCCACCAGTGGTCGGAATGTGGCGAGGAATTGTCAGCCACAGTTAGGGGGAAGGGGGAGAGTAATAGTTGAAGTTGTTGAATAAGAGAATCTCTAACACTATAGCCCTTGTACTATGTGAGGGGAGCGAAAAGATTGGAGTTTGAAAAAATAATTGAGCAGAGAAAAAAGTTTTGTTTTCAATCGTCCGTAACTTCAAAATGGCATTCAACACCCCTTTTTTTATCCCCTAGGGGCATGTTTGAAAAGGAAGACTAGATAAGATTATGGGCCTAGTCCAGCCTTAGTCCGTCGTTTGCTTTCCAAGTTTGAGGCCCGCAAGATTAGACAGGGCCCGAGACTAAATTTTAATAATCTTGCATATGGGGTATTAATTAGTCTGATTTCGACCATGAGATATTTTTCATCTCAACAGTACACATACAAATAAAAGTCATTTTTTACCCTGAAACTTGACATTTCAGACAAAAGTAACCTCAACATACTGAACAATTACAGCGTGTCAGGTATAAGACCCATCGTCTCTTTGACCCCAACACATTCGCAGTAGATCTATGGCAAGGTGTTGAAGCGGCAAAAAATTCATGCTTCCAGCTGCGACTTCACGGTACGTCTGTTTCACAACACATTTTACCACAGAAAGACGGGTTATTTTTAGTTGTGCGTGCCTAATCTTTTCCCCTATTTTTGCGAATAGGTTGTTTCGGAAAACCCTAATTTTCCATTTTTTGGGGCTGCAGGTATATTAGGAGCGTGTTTCATCCGGTGCTTTGCGAGCCAAGGAGAACGTGATTCCTTTCATCGTAATCGTTGTTCGACACAGGTAATTGGAAGAAGAAACGAATTCTCCAGAGTTCACATATTACACTATCTGCTACTGATTTACCAAACTGTTGTACGTTTGTTTGTAGTCGTAATTTATTTACATATGATCTTGGTATGTTTGAAACAACAAAAAAGTGAGTTATTCTTGTATGTTTTGGAGGATACGGTTTAAACCATCGCAAGAGGAGGGACTAATCCCATTAATTAACATAATGCTCCAACAGTACTTAATTAATAGTCGGTCCACCTTTTGGCCATCGCAAAATAATAACAACCTTTTCCTTTGGGGATATCGTAATTATTTGCACTTTAAGTGTAACCCATTAATTTGTACTAAGTTTACTACCAAAATTATACATCCACCTTTGGGTGACCAGTACGCTTTTGTAATAGCTCGCTATTACCATCCGAAGGAGATCTGTCCTTGTGAACCATGAGATAAACCATCCTTTGGGCTCGATTTAAATAACTTCACTAACAAACCTATAATGGAGGTCGTGGATACAATTTATTTCAATCTATTACACACTTAATATAATTTTTAATTCAGAGATTTTTCTAGACATAATCATAATAATTTAATTTTCACATAAAGCAATTAAATCACATAAGGACATGCATGATTAATAGGCAATAATAAACGAGGAAAAAATCCAACTATCATGGCCATTTAATCAATCTCCAATGTTTCAGAGAAACGCAATCCCACTTTGTTGAACTGCATCTTCCGATTCAGGACTTGGAACTCCTTCTCTCACCGTGACTCCCACTCTTCATCTTGAACAAGACGTCATCGGGTAGACATCGTGGTTCCGTCTGCGTGTTTATCGCATCGCCCCGTCGAGGTTGGTCCACGTCCGCCGGACATATAATAACAATTACATAATTCATCCCATGACCCGCGCAGGAGTCGTACATGAGTTTTCTATGAAAGTAGTAAACTATACGGTGTTCCACCGTGCGAATAATTTATTACAAGCATTTACCAACCCAAAAACTCATCGACATGCCCGAGGCTTATAAAACAGCATACACACATGAATTAAAATCATTCATACGAGCCATAATAGTTGGATTCGAAATCACCTGCAAACAGCCGATTTGCAATTTCTAATCAATTATGTCGCTCCGTCCGTACACAATTAATTCACGTAAACAAGTAAGTCCTAATTTAAACTGTGCACAAAGTTGAATTAAATCTGGGCTATGATACCAATTGTTGGGTTCTATTAGGAACGTCAACGACATGCACAGTATTGAACTTAACGAAATAAATCCTAACGCAGCAGAATCTATAGTTAGGATTAGGACATTACCTTATAAAATTTTTGCCAACTCATAGATGTTTCTGATTTTTAGGACATCGTCTGAACCGCAAAGTCTGTTGGGCAGCCAGACTAGACTTCCTTGATCAGAATCGGGTCGTCGGATCACGAACGGATCATCGGGTCAAGTGTTAGACAGATCCCAACATCAAGGACTTGTCGGGTTTGGGCCGGTCGGACAAGGCCCAAATATGCAGCTTGCAGCATGTTGTTATCTTTCTAAAGGACTTGTCGGGTTTGGGCCGGTCGCCTTAACCTGCGTATTACTATTTGGTATTTACTGACGTACACTACTTTCTAAAATTTTTTGAATATACTAAAGTAGCTTGCAGCATGTTGTTATCTTTCATATATTCTTTGGTCCAATATGCTAAAATTCTCATCTTTTTTTTTTTGAATAGACCCCTTTTGGGGATAATTCTTTC